ATTTGTAATAATTCATTAAACAATAATTTTCTTCATAATAAATTAATAAATGTTTACTTTCGCTTTGAATAAACTATAAGTTTAACAATGCTTCTACCACCTTCGGCAACATATAATAGTGCTGATGAACTCTTACAAAGTATCCAAAGTTTTGCCAATTCTCAAGGCTATGCATTAGTAAAGAAAAGAACAAGAAAAAACTACTGTGATGAATTAAAAAATATGTTATTGCATTGTGATCGGGTGGTACTTATAGTACAAAGACACAGCATTGGCAAACAAGCTCTAAACTAATTGACTGCCTTTTTGAATTATATGCTTCTCTCTGTGGTGGTCTTTGGTATTTAGAAGATCATAATTTAAAGCATAACTATAAGTGATCAAACAATATATTAGGTCATCTAATTTCTCGTAGACTTACAGGACAACAATTAGAAAGAGTTACAGAAATGACTATTTCTGGTTCACATCCTCGAGAAATTGTGTCTGCATTTAGGCAGAATGATAAATTAGCATTAATAACTAGCAGAAACATTTACAATGCACATGAGCAACTTCGTCAACAAAATTGGCAGGTCATACTTCGATCCAAGCATTAATAGATGAGCTTAGTGAAGGGATTTTATATATAAATGTAAATATGACAATAATGGCAGCATTACTTACCTCTTCTTTGCTCATAATGAGTCCATTGCTCTTACTTGAGAATATTCTTCTGTGCTTCTTATAGATTGCATATATAAAACAAATAAATTTAAAATGCCTTTATTGAATGTTGTTGGGATAACTAGTTTTTATACCACTTTTTACTCATGTTTTATTTTTATGAAGAATGAAGAGGAAGAAGATTATTGCTGGGCTCTTAATAATGTTACTAGTTTGTTTAATGGAGTTTTAAAGCCTGACATCATTATAACAGATCAGGAGCTTGCTCTTATAAATGCTCTTAGAATTATCTTTCCCTATTCAACAAACCTGCTATGCATATGGCATATTAGTAAAAATATTTTAAAAAATTGCAAGCTACAATTCTCAAAAGAAACTGACAAAAATAGTGAGTAGAATCTTTTTCTCTCAAAGTGGAATGAAATTGTCAAATCAAAAACTAAAGATGAATTTAATTTAAACTGGCAAAATTTTCAGACCACTTATATTAACAAACTTCAAGTTATTAATTATATTAATGAAACATGGATCAGCTGAAAAAAGCTATTTGTTGAAGCCTAGACAAATGCATTTCTTTACCTAGGAACAACAGTAACTTTGAGAATTGAAAGTGCACATGCTACCCTCAAAGCATACATACAAACATCAATAAGAGATCTTCACCAAGTTCATGAAACAATTTCTCTTACAGTAAATAATCAAAAAAAAGAGATTGATGCTATGACTGCATCTGAATGCATTCATTTTCCAGCTTTTGTATACAACAACCCATTTTATATAAATATCAGGGGAATGGCTTCAACTTTCGCACTTAAAAAAGTCAACGAACAATACCAAAAAACAATTGTTGCTACTACAAAAGAACCTTTACCATCATATACTAAGTCTTTTTTGAGTACAATGGATTTACCTTGTGCTCATATTATACAAAATTTTATGAGTAATCGAAATCTAACACTTGATGATATTCACAAGCATTGGTGAATTCAAAATCGTATGCCATTACCCTCTGTTGAAAATGATGATGCACTTGAGACCATATTACAAATTTTACAAAGTAAATACCAAAACTGGCCTGAGCATCAACAAGCGGTAACACGAGAATCATTAAATAATATGATTAATATACCAGTAATTGTTTTGCAAAATCCCCAGATAATTCATACTAGAGGACATCCTACTGGTTCTTCTAATCATCGACAAATGAGCTCAACCAGAAGAGATCCTTCTGGATTTGAGTTCATAGAACACCAAGTGC